GATCTCATAGGGTAGGGCGGCAACAGAAGAGAGAGAGAGAAATGGAAGTTGAAAGCAGTCAAACTGTAGATGTCTTCTTCAATTTGCCCTCCTCTTTATATAAAACCCTTAAAGAGTCAATCTTCTAATCTGATTAGGAGTTTCTTTAAGTGATAAGGATAATCCCTTATCTTATCTACAGATCAAGATCAACTACTTCTAATTTGCTCATAATCAAATTAGAAGTTTCCTGATCCAAATCTCTATTTGGATCTATACTCATTAAGTGAATAAGAGTTATCCTCTTATCCTTATTTGTTGATCTATACTCTTTAAGTGGATAAGAGTTATCCTCACTTCCTTTTAATATTGGCTAGCTTGGCTCTCTTTGTATAGTCTGGGGCCCTATCATTGATCTCCACATTAGCCATATGGGCTTAGCCTAGCCTCTGTTACAAGGCCTAGCCAAATTCACTACTAAATATAGTGAACCCCTGAGTCTATCACCATGGGCTCTTAATGAGCCCAATATTTACACTAAATGGTCCTTGGGTCCAGCCATCTTATGAAGGCCCAAGGACTGTGGGCAGATGTGAGATTAGCCCATCATGTTTATTATCCCTAAATGGTCTTACACTTAACCTCTCAACCCTTAATGATCAAACACTACCTGACAAGAGAGGACATCTCCCTCAGTTGCAAGGTACAGTGCTACACTCTCTACTCACATGAATCACCGGAATTAAAACCTTTTGCAAACATTTTGTGAAACCGTAATACTCCTAATGTTGTCACACTCTCCTTAGCCTGAGCAATGGCTCCTAATGTTCTATATTAGTTATATTATACAAAAATTAAGTATAATAAGTAAAAATTATTTATATAACATAGATGAAATATATAATTTAAAACTGATCTAACAGCAAATCTATTTTCCTATCTAGAAGGTGGATTAATGATCTAATTTTACAAATAAACTCATGATGTCATTATTGAATAATAAATATTAAAAAAATAACACAAAAAATGGAAAAGTACAGAATTTTTGTAAAAAGCATTTGGGAACATTTTTTAATGTTATACATTCATCATAAAAACAAAATTATTTTTATTTATGATGGAAATGAAATACAAAATTTCGTAAAAATAATAATAATAATAATAATTTATATTATAATTTAAATTTTCCATGTGCAATCCACATGATTAGATTCTTTTGTGTATATTTACTTTCTATTTTATTATAATTTTGTGTATATTTTTATTATAATTTAAAATTGTGCAATCCATAATTTTTATTATATTTTATTTTATATTTATCAATACAATATATAAAAGTGTGGATGCAGAGTTAAAGTTTTTTTGGACTAAAATTATCCTCTATTTCTTTGTTTGAGAAAGGGTATAAAAGTCATTTTATTATAGCCTTAACGTCAGTTTTAATGGCTACTAAAATGTCCATATTCGTGTATTTACTCCATCTCTAATTGTAAGGGTTGAAAAGGTAACTTTAATTATTACTTTCCACCTCATTTAATCTTTTCTCATTAAGTCTTATAGTATTAACTACCATTTTTTGCTATTAAATTCTATAATTAAGTTATTTTTTACTAATAAATGCTACTAATTAGATCTATGTCAATATTTTTAACAATTAAACCCATATATTTTAAAACAAATTCCAAACAAACCCATATATGAAGTCATAGTTAGGTAATAAAATTTTTAAAATAGAAATAAATATAGAAAATTATAAAAATATAGAAAACATTAGACACATTTATGATATTTTTATAAATAAAATTAAAAAAAGTGTAATAAACAAGAAATATTTTTATTGATAATAAAAATAAAATAAATAATTTATAACTAACCAAAATGAAAACTATTTAGCAAAGATCAATAGTTCAACTTTTGGGTCAAATGTGTTAATCTTTAATGTCATAAACAAATACAATATGAAAAAAAAAACAAAAAATGAAAAAAAACATAAATTTTGCAAAAAAAGCATTCAAGCACATGTATAATATCATATATTTATCATATTAAGCAAAAAATAATTGTGACAAATCAGAATTATTTTTATACATATAAATATAAAAGAATTATAGAAAAAATTGAACACATCTATAATTTTATATTTAAAATTTTAAACTACTATTAAAAATATGAATAAGATTGTGGAACTTTCTTTTAACTAATATACTCATTTTTGAATTTTGTCCCTATTTAATAAATTTAAATTGTAAATTGAGCTACTACTTTTCACCTCATTCAATTTCCTCTATTTGAATCTTACATTTTTTTTTGATAAATTAACAAAAAAAAGATACACCAAAAAGATAAAACATTACAAAAAATATAGTCTAGCCAAGCATGTAAGCTTGTCAATGATACTTGAAATTTCGCATCTCGATCCAATTATCACATATTTGGATGAGATGTTTATATAATTAGATTTGAATTTTGCAATTTGCATCTAATTAATAATAAAAAACAATAAATAAATAAAGTTTATAGAAAATTTTGGATAAATTATTACTATCAGTACCATCATCAAGAATTGCCACGTGCACATTTACTAGTACTATCAAAGTACCAATGAGGGTGTGAAACTTTCTTTTTGACTAAACTACCCCTATTTTTTAATTTAGGCCCTCTTTAATTATGCAATCTAATAATGTAATATCATTTACAACTTTTCACCACATTTAATCCCCTCTCATTAATTAAGTCTTATATTTAAGATATTAATTCTCATCTCTCACATTAAATTGTGTATTTAATGCCTTTTTTATTTAATAATTCTAATAGTTAGATCTATACTAAATACTTTTTAACAATATGAAACCCATGTTTTATAAAGGGAAAAATGCTAAAACTTCCCCTGAAGTTTCTGACTATTGTTGAATCCTCCCTTAAATTTGGTAATTGCAATCACCTTCCCTAAATGTTCTAATACAGTTGCAAGTAGACCCCTTCTCTTATAATCCTCTAACAAGAGGCATGAAAATGTCCAAAATAACCATATAGTTATTATGACCAAAATGTTTATTTCAAATTTTCTCTTTATATCAATCACTACCACAAACCCTTCCAATCTCTTTTCGGAAATTGATTTATTTTATAAATTTTTCCTTCATATGAATCTCTCAAAGTAAAGTTGCAATTTTAAACTTTTTTTTTTGTATTCAAATAACAATGTGCATAAATGCATGCTTTTCATGTGTTGATGACAAGTGGCACAAAATTATGTACTTAGCAACTTTTTTGTTACTTATATTTCTACTTTTGTCACCTGAGGAATACATGATTTATTTGATGAAATCATAATATAAAATATAATCATACATCATAAATAAAATAAACAATTCATTAAATAAATAAATGGCTTGGAAGCATATATTAATTACATGTGGCTTTAAAAATGTGATGGATATATGAAGAACCTATTAAAGTCATCACCTTGTTAAAGAGGTATGGAGATATCAACTTTCAACGTCAAATGAAAAGGCACAGAAGCATTCTATGTATATGTATGTATGGTAATAAAACCTTATGATTGTGGAAACATACTGCTGTATATGTTAAAATACCCTTACGTTAAATTTTTGACAAAGTAAATGTAATATATGTACCTTGTATTCATGGAAACATACTGTCGTAGTCTTTTCATTTTTTTCATTTTTGTGTTGACCCCTCTCTTGCATATTTGTCTTGTATATTTCCATTTCCCTTCAAAACTTTGAGAGATGAGTGTGATGAAAAGCACTTGCCTCACATTGGATAGAAAACAAAGTGGAAATGAGTATATAAGTAGGAGCTTGCCTTGGGGCTTTGGGAGTGAAAGGGAAGAAGAGATGCATAGAAAGGGGTTGGGTTTGGGGTGTTTTTCACATGTGCGTGCTAGATTAAACTAAGTTTGGTTGAAGCGTAGTGAAGCATGTGGCATGGAATACAGAAACGTAAGATTTTTTATTGTTTATTTTATTTATCTTTTGTAATGGAAATGTGTTAGGCCAAACTGCCAATCCACTTTCATTGCTTTTTTTTATGAAAGTGAGTGGTCACATCCAAGGTTCAAAGTATCAATTGGAGCCTTCCTACAGGGGGTGTTTCGGGTCGGCAAGTGGTCAGGGGGCAAAACGGCTTTAAACCGGCCCCTCTGAACCAGATTTGAAAAAAGTATAAAAAAAAAGTACTAATACAGGCCGATATGCCGGTAGGGCGTATCACCCTGTATTGATACTTTGAACCTTGGTCACATGACTCACATCTTTTGTTAAGCTATGTCTCTATAAATAGAAAGATAGTTACATTTCTTGTGTGCTTTTCTATTAGGCTGTGTTTGGTTGTAGTGCAATTTTATTTGCACTAGTACAAATGAGAAAAATGCAAATTTTGGTTTAAATTTGTTTTGGATTTTGCTTTATTCTACTTCGGGTCTTATTTTACTTCATTTTTATTGCAACCAAATGAAGTAAGGTGAAATATGAAACAAAAATAAATCAAAATTTGCACCCACCTTAGTTTTGCATCAGTGCAAATGAATTTGCACTGCAACCAAACACAGCTTTATGTTTTCAAGTCTTCTACTTTTAGTTTTCTTTTGGTCTTGTAATGAATTGTGTGCTTTTGAGGTATAAAGAAATATTTCTATAGAAGTATGTGTAGAGAGATGATTGATCATTGAATCCTGAGGGCAGATTCTTTTCACACACCTCCAGCACAATATTTCTATATGTTTTTTTTTAATAGGTTCTGGTTTTTCACAATTAATTTTTTGGTGTAAAATTCAAATTTTCGATGTAAATTTCAAAATTTTGTACAAAATTAATAGGTTGGAGGTTCCTTTTACAGATTACCATAATTCATTCCATACATATTTTCCAACACCTTGAACCATGAATTAATAAAGGAGCTCTTTCTATATCAAGTAGATCTCATTCCCATATGATAACTTTTAAATTGAATACATAATTATAGATGTTGAGATTGAGATGGATACATCATACATAACATTGGTAAAATCCCTTACTTTCCTTGTTGACTTTTTAGCAAGGAAACGAAGCCAATAAATTACTCTTCTATTTATTTATTAATTGGTTTATCAAAATTGTACAAACAATGAAAATAGTAGAGAAATTAACTCCAAAACACTAGCTAGATAGACACTAACATTTTGAAGTGGTAGGTTATTGATACTAGTAAGATCTATGTAATGGATGGAAACTTTATTTGCAAAACACATGCTCATTTACTACCTTGCTGAGGGACCAATTTCAGCTGAAAGATCTAGAGAACTCATTCCAAAGGATGCAGTAGATTTTGTCTCCAGTTCTTCCTTTACTTTCCAACTCATATTATTAGCTGTTTGGATTTCCAAAGACTCCTTTAGTTCCACTAACACATTGGTCATAATTGGCCTTTGAATAGAAGTTGGTGCTGTGCATGCCATTGCAATCTCTAGAACTTTCCATATGGAATTGATGTTGTAATCTCCTTGTAATCTTTGATCAACTATGCCTTTTATTTCCCCTCTTACAAACAAGGGACCTACCCATTGCACTATGTGAATCATGGTATCACTTCCTACAAGTGCTGGTCGGCCTGTGATTAGCTCTAAGAGGACAATCCCAAAGCCATAAACATCACTTTTCTCATTCAATTTGTTAGAATTGTAGTACCTACATGTACAAGCTTCTTATTATTAGAAGAAATCTTTCATAATTCATGTACTAAAATAAAAGTTTTTCAAATTTGAGATATAAGAAACTTGGTAGTTAAATGCTAAGAATTAGAGAGCACTTACTCAGGATCTAGGTAGCCTAGTGTCCCAATGACTGTTGTTGATACATGAGTGCCATCTTCATTGGGTATATCCTTGGAAAGCCCAAAGTCTGCTAATTTAGCTTGCAATCTTTCATTCAATAAGATGTTGGATGTCTTAACATCTCTATGAATTATTGGTGGCTTGCAACCATTGTGTAAATATTCCAATCCTGCAACTCTTTCTTAACCTATTAGTTTAATTTGAGGGGGAAAAGGGAAAATTCAAGGAAATTAACTTGCACTTAACTAACCTTGTGCTGCATCAATTGCTATTCGAAGTCTGTCTTCCCAACTTAAGGCATTTGCATTCTTACCTGCACAAATACCACCATAATGATTTTTTTTTTAAATGTGTGTAACCATGTAGACATGTCTCTTGATAAGAGAGCATGTCTTCCCCCTCTTGTGTAAGGGAGAAAAATTTTGAACTGATGGCAAAAGATATTTCCCAAAATTTTACATCTGAGAACTATAATTTTAACTATTTTCAATTGATGACCTTTTTCTTTGTCTTTTAGAGAATAAGTCATTAATTAAGTTGTGAGATCCTTAATGGCTGAAGGTTAATTGGGTTGACTATCATACCCCCTATATATTTTCTCATATGACTATTTTATCCATTAAAAGTCAAAGAGTAACATATATAAGTCATTCAATTCAACCACTTCAGTGTTATCAAAAGGTTCCTTTATTAGATGTACTTATGCATGCATGTTTGTATACATGTGAACAGATATGCATTTATTTTCGAAGGCAATTCTATTAATGTCAAGATCTATTTCACATTTCTAGTCCATACTTTAGATGGAGGATGCTACGTCCAAGTTATTTGTATAAAACATTTGCCATGTTCATTATTTTCATGAATAGCTCTACTAATATGAGCTTGTTTTATATTACTAGTCCCAATCCTAGACAAAGTTGTGTTAGGTTGGATTTTGAGTTGTTATTTTGTGCTTATGCTAATAGCATTCTCTAAAAGGGTGTGTTAGGGTACTCCTTAGATGTGCATACTATAACAATGCCTAGTCATGGTAAAAAACAGGTAAAGGTTTTTACATCCTTTCATATGAGGATTACAATAAAGAAGTTAGTCCAAAAACAAGAATTTGATTGGCTAGCTCATTAATGTAGGAGTGTTGATAGAAAATACTATAGAATAAGCACAATGAGGTTGAGAGGGATCGATATAGTTGTTTACAGAAGACTAAATAGGATAGACAACTAAAGGAATTGATGCCTATAAACTATGATATTTAGAAGTAAATAAAGGAAATAGATAAGTAATAATGGTAGATAGGGGACCTATGGATAGAATGATTTAACCAGATTTGTCTTAGGTGAGAAAATGATTAACATAATTAATGCTTATGCACCTCAAGTGAATTGAGAAAAAAAAAACATTAAAGACCATTTTGAAAAGAAACATAAATTAGTTAATTCAAAAATTCTAAATAGAGAAAAAATCAGATAAAATAATTAAAAAAAAACTATCCTATACTTTGGTAGTGACACTTAGCTCCCTAAACATGCATTTGCAACAAAGAGCTATCTACTTTCAAATTCCAACACTTTACTGGCACCATTAATATTGTGAGACCATTTTTCCATTTCCTTTATTAATGCATCTCCAAAACTCAAATTTATGAGACCATTTTGTCCTCTCTTTTATTGCATCCAACTTTTATGAGACCATTTTCCTTCTTTTGATTCTCATTAGCCCTTCTCTCTCTCTCTCTCTCTCTTCAATAAATGGATAGAAAAAAGTAGAAAGAAGATAGAAAAAGTTCAAAACTTGGGTTTTGAAGATGAAATAAAAGAGATGGAAAAATACTCATAAAATTTCAAAACTAGTAGAATGCTAACAATGGGAGCAAAGTGTTGGATTGAAAGTACAAGGCAGCTTTGTCACAAATGAAAGTTTGGGAACCTATGTCACTACACCCAAAGTACATGGTAGGTCCCAGTATCTTACGCAAATTTTATAAGAAGAGATCTAAATGGGCACAGGAAAAGAAGTTTTGGATATGATAGGCTATAAGCAGGTATGTCATTAAAAATAGGAATTAAACATGAGGTTTAGAATATTTAGCAAACTTATGATAGTGAAATATACTTAAAAAATGATAGACATTTCATAACCTTTAAAAGTGGATCAAATTCAAGTTAAATAAACTTAATAAGAGAAGAAAATTAATGATATGCAAGCACTATAATTTTATTTAAAGAGAAATCTTAACCTCATACCATAAATTAATAGAAGTAAATGTGTGCATTAAAAGATACAAAAATATGAAGAGAATAGGTGCCTAATAATTAGGTGAGCCAACCTAAAAGGAAAAAAGCTAGATGTGCAAGTACTATAATTTTATTTCAAGAGAAAGCTTAACCACATATCATAAATTAATGGAAATAAATGTGTGCATTAAAAGATATAAAAAAGAGGAAAGGATAAACTACATGTACCCCTTTATACTTTGGGAGTGTATCAACTCATTACCTTTTTTTTTTTTTGCGCCAGATTCCCCACTGAACATTCATAAGCAAGAAACTCCACCATTAACATTCTATCAGAAAAATAGACAGCTTTTTTTTTTCTTTTTGATCTTTCGAGATGAGAAAGGGATTCTTTACCCTATGTGCATCAAGAGATCAAGCATTGTTCATAGCTACTATGAATTTTCCATTGTTTTCTTCATCTTTCCTTTAATATGATGGATAACCTAGCTAGAGCACCAAGTCTGTTCAATGTTAGACTTGGTGATGCTAGAACTAGACTTCGAGAAGCTCTAATGACGACATCCTTGGCCAAGTAGGGATGGCAACGGGGTGGGGACCATATTTTCCATCCTTGACCTTGACTTTGAAATAAATCCCGCCCCATTCCCAACCTCGATCCTTGTTGGGATAAAAGTTACCCTCCATCCCCAATCCTCGACAGAAATGAATTCCTCATGGAGACCCGAATCCCTAAAAATTTTTAATTAAATGTATTTTGTTGAAAATAAATTTACTTAAAATAAAGAAAAAATTAAAATATAAATAATATTTTAAATATATTTTGATGTATTTTGTTGGGACTTCACTTCCCATCCCCAACCTGCTGGGTACCCAGATGGGAGAGGACATATCCAAACATTTATTTATTTTGTTTATCTTTTTTCACCTCTTTAGTCCCCCAATCCCAGGTGGAAGGGTTAATCAAAACCTATGAAAATGGGGAGTGGCAAGTGACACCTCGAAGAAATTAAAGCTTTAGTGGTGGGAAAAGAATGGAAAACTAATTAAGATATTTCTTAACTATTTATTATGACCTATTACTATATATTAGGCGTTGATAGAATATGATATCACTAGAATCATTAGAGAAATAAGTGAGGCAAGAGCAGGATAAAAATTCATAATTCACAAAAGAAAATAATTGATTTTTTCTTTAAACCCTGACATATAAAAATAGGGTAAAATATAAAAAACCTCCCCTGAAGTTTCATTTTAACATAAACCTCCCCTGTAATTTTGAAAAGTTCCGTAATTACCTCCCTTCCATCATTGTCCCAGCCATAAAACGTCAACCTAATGCATTATTTTTTTCAAAATACCCATTTTACTCCTATGCCTACAATTCTGATGGAAATTTACTAAAATAATCAAAAAGAACTTTTAATTTTTAACTAAAACTTCCCTAGGTCAAATTAAAGAGTAAAGTATAATTTAATTTTGTAAAATCATTATGATTGAGTGAAGTCTAAAGGGAAAATTTGGCACTTCGATTATATCGAAAGATTTCTTAACAAGTAATAAGGGCAATTTTGTAACTTCAAAGTCTCTATTATGGAGGCAATACAATTTTTTTCTTGATAATGAACTGAGAAACTAATGGAAGGGAGGTAACTGCAGCATTTTTAAAAATTACAGTGGAGGTTTTTATGTTTTGCCCATAAAAATAAGAGTTGCAAAATCAAAGTAGGCAGTTCAAGGAAATTACTCCTGGAAAGAATTCATAAAGTGTTGTGACTTGTAAAATGGGATTGAAATTGTAGTTCCAAAATGAATCTCAATGATGGAAGACTTGTGGAGGAGTGCGAGGAAGCTCCAAAAAAATTTAACTCCACAGATTTTCCGGTCACTATGGTAGTATGGTGATTCGAAACCGGAAGTGGTGACAAGGAGAAAATCCAAAGGAGATTAAGAAAACCTAAAACTGGAGATGGAATGTCCATGGAGAAAACTAGTTAATGGCCAAGCATTTGTAGAAAATAAAACCACAAGAAATTAAGACAATTGAAGAATTGATAAGCTGTAAATATTTTAAAAGAAAAGGTTTAACTGCAGGAAATAAAGTGTGCTTGCCAAGAAGCAATGAAGAATAGGAAAGGAATGTCCTGAAACGATGTTTGAGTTGAGATAGGAGAATTAATGCATCAAATAGCCAAGATTTCTCGGGAGAATCACTGCCAAAGAAGCAACTTATCTTCAAGCAGTTATCTCAACAACCTAGTTGGGTCAATGACTTCATTTCTTGATTTTGCCATTATCTTCTTCACTATCTCCGCCTCCAGTGATGCTTGGAGTATTCTTGTTCTTCGACAGCGAGAGACAAATTGCTCAAATTTCTAGGTTTGGGAAGAAACCCCCTAAATGTGTCATTAATACTGTTCATGTTGTGGAAGTTTAAGGGGGAATCTCTGCAAAACAATGTTTAGGTAGTGAATTGATACACCCCTAAAGTATAGGGGGATTATGGAGTTTACCCCAAGAAGAAAATAGGTTCCTGAGTTTGGATTTGGTCTTCACAGAGCACACCTCATAGTACTTACAACCGCACATTAGGAATATCTCCCATACTTGCATGTTGTCATTTATAGGAAGATATTTCCATTGCTAGGTTGCAACATGCTGTGAGGTTGGTATGAAGTGCACTCTAGGAGGAGTAAATCCGAATTCAACAAATAGGTGAGCCAACTTGAAAGGAAATCCCCTCAATGTATCAAATAAGTAGGGTTATTTTGATAAATAGGCATATTCTGTTAAAACTGCTCATGTTGTGAAAATTCAAGGGGGAATTTGACACAAAACAAGGTTTAGGTATTAATACACCACCAAAGTATGGGGGTTATGGAGTTTATCCAAGAAGAAAATATGTGCCTAACAAAAAGGTGAGCCAACTTGAATGGAAAAAAGCTAGAAAAATTTAAAGAAAAACTAACAATAAAAAGAAAGGTAAAAGACTTAAAACCTCAACTCCCAAATACTCAAACATCCCCTCTCTTTTTCAAGTTAGACTAAGATGTCCCCTATTGGGTGATGTTATATCGGACAGAACCCTCCCCTCTATCCTCATCTGTTTGCACATGATTTCACATGCTAGTTAATTTTTAAAAAACCCAAAATTTTCCACCAAGCTAGGGATACAAATAGATCAAATCAAATTCGAATGGGGTATATCTGAATTCAGTTCAATAAAAAATACATGGTTCAAATTCGATTTAAATTTGTTAGATTTTCAAACATACTAATTTGAATTCAATTTGATTATCTTAGCAAATATTTAATTTGAATTCAATCACTTCCTAGATATTTGAAAATGAAATTAAGAAATTAAAAAACCTCAAATAAAAATTTTTGTGATGGTCTAATGGAATATCTCTAATACCAATCAGTTGCAGCTACAAAGAAGGAAAGAAACTAAAGTCCTGTTTGATTTCACTTAGAATAAGTACATATTTTTATAAGCACTTAAATGAAGTGTTGGAGCCACACATTAAGTGATAAATAAACACCTATTCCTGTTTGATAAAAAATTCAGGTATAAGTGATAAATAAACACTTATTCTAAAAAGAAACATGTAAAAAACCCTCCTCTGCAAGGAAAATATTTCATTTATTTTCCATTATACCCCCCGAGGAGAAAACCCTCCTCCCCCTTCCATTTGAACAGAAGAAGACAAAGGGGTGATGCACCAGTCTCTTTGGCGACTGACGACTACCGATAGGAGCAGGAAACCAACCGGATCAGTTGGTTTGATGTTTTGAACCATTTTATCCCTTTTACTCTTGATTTGAACTGGTTTTGGGAAGGTTTTTAATGCCTGGAAATTTCCTTGCGTTTTTTGTTCCCATATCTGTTTTGGGAGTTGTTTGCCAATGATCGAAGGTTAGTTTACTCTTGATTTGAACTGGTTTTGGGAAGGTTTTTAATGCCTGGAAATTTCCTTGCGTTTTTTGTTCCCATATCTGTTTTGGGAGTTGTTTGCCAATGATCGAAGGTTAGTTTGCCCAAATGAACACCTTCCATCATTGCTATTGTATTTTCGTTTTTTTTTTTTGTATGAATATAGTGCTGAAATCGATTTTTTTATTTTCATAGATGAAATCCAAAATAATTATGAGTATTTTTTGTGCATTGCTTATGTGATGATTCCTTTGAATAAGTAGGATTCTTTGAGTGTTTTTTGTAAAAAATTATGCCAAAAATATGCTGAAATATGTGGTTACAGAATTTGTTCTTAATTTTTAATATGAATGATTGGTTAAATGTTAGCATTTTTTTCTTGATTTGTGATTACATTTCCTATAGTCCGAATTGAGGAATAATTGCATAAATGTTATCAATTTTTTTAAGCCCCTTGAGCACCTGAAATGTCCACATGTGCCCTGGAGTATTAATATAGCATTTTTTCTTAAGCACCTTGAGCACTTGAAATGTCCACTTGCCACAACATTAACCAAGACCGAAAAAGGAATTGTTACACAGACCTTCATCCAATTCCTCCACATGGAACTAAAATTCATTCTCCATAAAATATAATCTAAAAAAATTCCAATTTACATAACCATAGGCTTTTTCTAAGTCCATAATGCACACCAATCCTACTCTTCCGCTCCTAATCTAGGAGCCTATTAATTCATTTGCCATTAATACTCCATATGTCAACTATCTTCCTGTAATAAACACGCCTTGAAACTCTAAAATAACATAACCCATGACTGGTTTCAATCTTTTGGCTAATCAGCCTGAAGTCCTTAAACTCCTCAGTCCCTTTTTTCTTAGGGATTAAGGAAATAAAAGTGAAATTTAGACTTCTTTCTAAAGTGGCCAAAGTATGGAACTCTGATAAAACTGCCATAGCATCTTCCTTTAGAAAATCCCAGCACTTCTTAATGAACTCCATAGTAAAGCTGCCTGGATCAGGAGATTTATCACCCTCCATCTCATTTATTGCTTTCCACACCTCCTATTTAGTGAAAACCCTATAGAATTCCTCGGGTAGCCTGTTGAAATTTAAACCATCTACCTTGAGTATTACCTTACATTCTTCTTTGTAGAGTTTCGAAAAGAAACACCTTGCTACCTCTTTGATTCTTGTTTGCTCCACCACTTCTCCATCCTTGACCATCTTTTTATCAGATTTTCTCTTCTTCTAGCATTTTCTTTAAAACTTGGTACTTTTATCACCCTCCTTCAGCCATAAGAATTTTGATCTTTGTCTCTCACTTCATCTCTTCTTGAAAAGCTAGTTTATCAAAGTCAGCTTTATCAGCTTTAGCTCTCAGACTCCTATTTTTTATCTTTTTCCCAAACTTGTCCTTCCTCCATACCTTTATCTTCTCCTTTAGGCTCTTTAATTTTTTACTAACAATGTAACTAGTTGATCCTTCAAAATGAAATTGAAACCACCACATCTCCAACAAACCTACAAAACCTAAAAGGAGAAGGTTTAAGGGGAATGCCATTACTATCCAAAGCAGTTTGGCCTATTATCAGATAAATGACCGTCTTTCTTGTTCTTGTTGATACGATTTGTCTTCATTAGTTTTACCTATACGTAAAAAGTCTTTTGTTTCATAGGTTTAGTATACAAGATTTACCTACAGACAAAATTATTGGCAAATTTTGTATACCATAATACTTACAACCATTCTATAAGTAAATCTTCACTGTTTAATGGCTTTCTTGTTTTTATTTTCTGCACCTAGACAAGAAAGTGGTACTTAGAGCTTCTAGCATGCAACAATTATTGCCTTCATTCAATAATCTATAACAAGGGAAAGATTTAGGAGGATTTATGTATATGATTATAGTAAGATGGGCAAAATGGATGGATACATTTGGAGTCTTATGTGATAAGAGAATATTACTCATGATCATGCTAAAAGGAAAAATTTTATGAAATGGTTATTAGTTAACAAAGCTTTTAGTAGTCAAGAAACATTATGTCCAAAAAAATTGAATGCTAAAATGTGAATGTTGAGATGGATGAAAAAAAAAATTATAAACAATAGATTAGAAATGAACTTGTCCAAATGAACTCTTAAAAATATCAGATTTTTGTACTTTAGTGTCATAGGGGCAAATCTATAATTTTCCCTTCTTTTATTAGTAGTTGGAAAAATTCCCCATCAGTACCCTATACTTTGGCTCGAGTGACACTTTGGTCCCCGAACTTTAAAATGTGATAATCCAGTACCCAAACTTTTAAAATGTGACAATTCAGTACCGTTGATGGACCGACAGTTATATCACGTGACCTTACCTGCAATTTAAAACTTTTAAAAATATTATCATCTTCTTCCACAAGAAAATGAAATAGAGCCCAAGTTCTCTCACAAATACTAAAACCCTTCTTGCTTAGAATGGAAAGGTCTCAAAAATCATTGAAAGATGAGATCAAGGAAGAAGTAATTGAGAAGATTAGAGGAGGATGAGGAGAAACCATCTGTCTTGACCAAAGAGCCAACCAACATGAAGATCACTGTTGTTGACAGTTGGCACTGCATTGCACACACCGACCTTCTCTCTCACTTTTAATGTCTAAAAGACTTTCTCTATTTGATTTCCATTTTTTGGTCCCTTGTGGGCTTCAAGAATTGCTAGATTAGTAGCCACGAATCCAAGCTTAAAACAGGGGGATGCCTCGTATAGCATCTGCATCGTCATCATGAGCTCATCACTGAACAACTCCGGGGGAGGATTCTCGGTTGGGTTCATGCGGGACTGGAGAGCAGATACCATATACGCCGTCAATCTCTGCTCTGGATCGCCTTGCACGTTCGAGACCTGATTCAGGCGGGATGGAGTTGTCGTAGCAGCGTCTATGTTTCTTTTGGTGAATTTGAAGACGAGGACAACGAAGAGGTTGAAGGTGAGAGGCTTCTGATTTTGGATCAAGCCCTGTATAGTTTCGCTCCACCCACTGTTGGTAATCACCAAAGCCGTGTCTCCTTCTCTAGTTCTTGAAGCCGACTTCTCATGTGAGTCTGGCTCTGATTCAAGAGGCACAACTCAGTTTGTAACAGAATTAGAGAAAGAAATCCCAGACAAAGCAGAGTTGCTACAAGTAGGGTGGTTGTTCCGAGTATGCTTGATAGGGTTAAATGGCTGAGGTAGAAGGGGAAGATGGAGGAATCCTAAACTTTTTGTCAAAGTCCAGAATTAGATGGAAGTGAGGATTTTGTCTCGATCAAGGTGAGAGAGGCTTCTGATCATGACGTTTTTCGAACAATTTCCGGTGATATTTCATTATCAGTGTCATCTTCCATATATTAGAACCAGTGCAAATAACTGGTTAATAAGGAAAATTAGATGACATTCAAAGGACATTTGTGTCGTTTTACATGCCACTTAAACAGCTGGCATTTTAAAATTCGGAGACCAAATTGTCACTCCAGTCAAAGTACAGGGTACTGATCGAGAATTTTCCATTTGGGTTGTCCTAATATAAATACAAAACCTAGTGCTTTCATCCTATGTTTTTTACTCCAAAATCTTTTTCTCTTTTCTCTCCTCTCTTCTTTCTTCTCTTCTCTGACTTTCTGGCATACTTTCACCAAGAAAACATGGTATCAGAGCGATAGTTCTAGGATTAGAAGTAGTACGATCAAGTTTTACTCCCAAATTTTTCAGTTTTTTCTCTCTTGTGGATCCAACCTATTAGGGGGTGTGTCAGACTGATCTGAAAGGAGTTTCTTTTGAATTCTTCCTTTTCCTTCATGGTAGTGTGCCAAGAAATCACCGAGGGAAGAGAAATTAAATGCTATGAAGGTGGTTCTCTCAGTTTTGTGGATCGTGTGATCCTTTTTGTACCCAGGTAAGTGGGTTATGTAGGTCCTAATGACCTGTGACTACTGTAAAGTTTTTTTTTTTTTTTTTTCAGTTTTGTGGATCATGTGATCTTTTTGTACCCAAAATAAGTGGATTGTGTAGGTTTAAATGACATGTGATTGTTATGGCAACAATTTTCTAGTTTGTTTTAGAGATTGAAATAGTTGTGTGGCCAAAAATATGATGAAGTATTACTATAGGGCTTTTCAAATCTAAAATTGACCTTGCTTTTTTTATCAATAACAATGAAATTTTATTAATGATTGAGAGAATCAGAATTACAAGGGAATGAGCTAAAAAATCTTAACTCCCAACTACCCAAGGAACATCCTAACCATCTTAAAATTGACCTTGTTTTACTTCTGGAATTGGTTTAGTAGTCTGGTAGTGTGTGTTCATTGTGTGTGGACAGAAGAGAACAATCATATAGTGTTGTTTATGTGAGAATAAGTACCATTGTGACTAAAATGTGACTGAATTATGATCAGACCTTCCCTATCATGTCTTTTGAAGATTCTAGTATGTTTGGTATGTCCTCTAGTCAAGGTGGAGTGAGTGGAAGATTTGACATGATTTTTCTTATGGTTGTGACCCTTTTGAATAGACTCAAATTACATAGAATGGTCAAGGGGAATTAAGCTTTACATAATTGCCAAGGGAAAAGTGGGCCATATTAATGGTAGAATCAAAGAATCAAAGTCTGGGAGTGTAGAACATGATAAGTGGGACTAGAAAAACAACATGGTAATGTCATGGCTATTACTGTCTATGCTGCCACAAGTAAGGAAGACCTTCAAGTGGGCATAAACAGTTTATGATATTTGGGAGTAGGCTAAATCTACCTATTCAAAACAATGACATTATGCCAAAATCTATTAATTGCAAGCTGCACCCTTAACTTGTAAGTAGGGGGGAAGGAGTCTCCTTGTATACTATTCAAATTTAACCTCAATTTGAAAAGAGCTGAACAACTATTTGAACATAGATTGAAAATGTGATGCAGATGCTAAGGCCTACAAGTCTCTAGGTTCTTATATATATATATATATATATAGGCATATATATCTAAATCTATTAGGGTTCAGATATTGGGAAGTAAAGATCTCCCATCGGTGTAAGAAGTGTATGCCCTAGTATAATCAGAAGAGAGCAGACGAAATGTGATGAATAATTCTAAGGGGAGCAAACTGCCTTGGCAAATAAAGGGAGTGTAGGTGCAGAAGGTGGTAATTCTTTTATGAATGGTGACTTCTAGAAAAAAGTTGATGACAAAGATAAGCTATGGTGCACTCATTGTTAGAAGTCTAAACATACTCGTGATACATGTTGGAATCTTCCTAAGAAGCCGAAGTGGGCCTAGGAGGTGAGTAAGAAACTATATTAGAATAAGAAACCGGAATAGCAAGCTAATAAGAAGTTTAATGTAGTAAACATGGCCTCTTAAAAGTCTCAACCATCTATCACTAACTTGAGCCAGGACCTTTCTTTTGTTATTGATTCCAGGGAAGATATTATTAATTCCTTCTGTGATCATTTGTTGTTGTATAATAGGGCAATCCGTCAGATGGATTCTACTCCTCTCTCGACTTCCTTTGCATCTACATCAAGTAATGGTACTTCTGCAATAGCTTTTCATGTGTCCTCTCATCCCTTCAACTCCCCTTGAATAATAAATTCTAAAGCTTCGAATCATATAACTAGTAAGTCAAATTTTTTTTCAATCCTATCATTTCTTATCTATCAAAGACAATGTGAGACTATATGATAGCTCCTTTTCCACCATAGCTAGTCAAGGAGCCATCTCCTTTTCTTTTTGGACTTACCCTTCCTAATGTGTTAAATGTTCCAAAACTGCCTATAAACTTGTTCTCTATTAATAGTATTACAAACTTATTAAACTGCCCAATAACCTTTTCCCTTCTTGTGTGATATAGGATTTGGCCTCGGGGAAGATGATTGGTAGAGGTCGTATGGTGGATAGTCTCTACATGCTGGAGAATAAAGCTAATCTTGTGGTTACTGAGTTCAAGAGTCAAACTAGTAAGAGTTAGTCTATTTATGGCATAGTCGTTTAGGTCACTTATCTTTTGAATCGTTAAAGGTTTTGTTTCCAGAATTGTTCAAGTCAGTGTTAGTGTTTGAATTCACATGTTGAACTAGTAAGTTGAGCAAACATTGTACAAATCATTTTGATTCAAGAAATAATAAATCTAATTTCCTTTCCATATTGTTTATTCTAATGTTTGGGGTCCTATTACTTTACCATCTGAGACTGGATATAAATACTTTAATACACTTATTGATAACTATTCTAGATATACATGGGTGTATCCCTTGCGTTCCAAATATGAAGTGCTAAAAATTATAAAAGATTTCCAATGTATGTTATTCACTCAATTTCAGACAAGGATCCAAATTTTCCAATTTCACAATGCCAAAGAATTTCCATAGTGACCTCATGAAGCTTTTTGCTTTGTGTGGGTCCATTCATCATAGTTCTTGTGCCAAAATACCCCGATAGAATAGTGTTGTAGAAAGAAAAAATTGTCATCTCCTTGAAATTTCTCATGAGTTACTCATACATATAAATGTTTTCAAACATTTTTTTATTGGATGTTGTGTTATGTGTTGCATACCTTATCAATCATATGCCATCTCGCTTGTTAAAGTACAAAACCCCTTATTAGCTCATGTTCTCCAAAGCTCCCTTATTTTCTATCATATTCTTGTATTTGATTATTATTGTTTTGTTCAAGACTTGTCTCATACTCATGGTAAACTTGATCCTCGTAATATTCCTTATGCATTCTTGGGATACCCTCCTTTTAAAAAGGGTTACCGGTGTTTTGACCCCATTTCTAATAAATACTATGTTTCTATATATGAATGTGTCTTTCATTAAAAGTGATCATTATTTTCTTGTTTCTCCACAAGGGGAGAGTAAGGTGGAAGAGAAACAAGTTCGGGTTCTTCCTCATCTACTTGACCCTCCTCCGTTCCGTGTTTTCCTTCGCCGCCACAAGGGCCAACCGAGTTCAAGAGATGCAGAGCAACTTGAAGCTATATTACCAATATCATCGGATCACCGAGGAAAAATCCTATCCAGACAAGTACTCTTATTCCTATTGATGTTTCTAACCCTATTGCTATTAATTCTTCTACTGCTAATAACCTAGATATTTCTATTACACAAAGGAAGGGAGTTAGGTCTTGTACCACTAAGCACCCTATATCTTATTTTGATTCCTATGAGAACATCTCACCCTCTTTTTGTGCTTTTCTTTCTTCCATTAATAGTGTCACTATCCCTAAGAATGTGACAAAGGCTTTCTCAATACCTAAATAAACAGATGCAATGAAAGAAGAGATCAACACTTACATAAAAATGGCACATAGGAGTTAGTGGATCTTCTTGTGGGTAAGGAATTGATAGGGTGTAAGTGGGTATTCATAATGAAGCACAAGGCTGATGGCATAATGAAAAAGTACAAGGCCTGGTTTGTGACAAAAGGGCTTGTATACGGAGTATATCATGTAAAGACATTTGCTCCAGTAGTTAAGATAAATTCTATCTGAGTCATTTTCTCTCTAGTTGTTAACCGTGATTGGGATCTTCATCAATTAGATATCAAAAATTCCTTCCTGAATAGTAACCTTAAAGAAAAGGTGTACATAGTACAACCCTCCAGCTTTTGTGACCAAGGCAAAGAACAAAAAGTGTGTAGGTTAAAGAAGTCCTTATATGGAGTAAAACAATCACCAAAAGCTTGGTTCAACAAGTTTCTGGTTGTGCAATAGATTAGCTACAAACAATGCCAAATCAATTATACATTATTTGTGAAAAGAGGAGAATGAAAGATTGCGGCCTTGATAATGTATGTTGATGACATAGTAATCACAAGTGATTGGAATGTTGAAATTCAAAAGTTAAAGGAGTTTCTATCCACTCAATTTGAGGTGAAGTACCTAGGTTCCTTATGGTATTTCCTTAGAATTGAAGTGGTCCGCTCACAAAAGGGAATCTTTATTTCAGAAAGGAAATTAGGGGTTAAGCCAACTCACTCTCCCATTGATTCAAACCATAAGCTAGGTGATTGTTGTGGTGAGACTATCAAGGATGTAAAGCAATTTCAAAGACTGGGGAGGCTCTTGTGCTTATCCATGACCTGGCTAGACATTACTTATGTCGTGGGTGTTATTAGTTAGTTCATGCATGCCCCTAAGACCACACACTTAGAAGTAGTCGAGAGAATCCTTAAGTACCTAAAGAAGTTCTCAAGAGCTAGTTACTTTTCCAAAATAATCGGCATTTAAAGGTTAAAGTGTATTCAGATACTGACTAGGTCAGATCAATTGATGATAAAAAGTCCACTAGTGGATATTATACCTGTGTGGGAGGAAACCTAGTCACATGGAGAAGCAAAAAACAAAATGTAGTGGCTAGGTCTAGTGCTAAATCTAAGTATAGAGAAATGTCCCATGGAGTGTTTAAGGTTATATGGATAAAGAATCTGCTGAGCGAGCTGAGTTTTCCAATTGATAGACCCATGTTCTTGTATTGTGATAATAAGGCTGCCATCAACATTGCAGCCAACCCAGTTCTTCATGATAGAACTAAATATATTGAGGTGGACAAGCACTTTGTTAGGGAGAAACTTGCTAATGAGGAAGTGTGTACTCCATATGTTAGTTCCAAGGAACAACTTGTAGGCATGTTTACAAAGGGTTTACATCACTTGCGGTACAATGACTTATGTGACAAATTCGACATCATTGACATCTATGTCCAAACTTGAGGGGGAGTGTTAAAACTATCAGATTTCTAAACTTTAGTGCCACAGGGGCACATCTATAATTTTCACTTCTTTTATTATTAGTTGGGTCACCCTAATATAAATGCAAAAGCTAGCGCCGCCAACCTAAGTTTCCTACTCTAAAATCTTTTTGTTTCTTCTCTCTTCTCTCTTCTCTCTTCCCTCTTCTCTTCTCTTCTATAACTTTCTAACATACTTTCACCAAGAAAATAATAGTTTAGAAGAAACTCTAATAAGTGCTAAAATGAGGGAAAGTAGAATGAAATGGTTTAGACCATCTACAACACCAATGAGAAAAAGTGATTTGTTACAAGTTTAAGGGGTTGGAAGAGCTAAGGGTACACAAAAATGACATGGTTTGACGGAATGTTGCAAGATTTGCATTGGATTAGACAGATTGAACCAAGGACCCAATGGTCTTTCTGGGTCTTGGTTAGATGACCAGTAGTGTGGAATTAAATGATTTAAGGGCTCATAATTTAAGATTGGATATTATATACAGAACAAAATAGTAGAATAGGATAAATATTGGCATTCATGTTAATTTATAAATCCTCATTTGGTATTTCATAAATACATTAAGGGGTAGTTGTCATGTGGAATGGTAATTGAGCATTACTAGTACAAAAAAAAAAAAAGATGGATATGAACTTTATGCATGAAGATTATGATGGAAATAAGAATTATTTGATAAATAAAATAATTGATACCTGAAAGATAGTTGCGTAAGTTTCCATTTGCCATGTACTCATATATGAGAGCTTTGCTTGTGCCTTCATCACAGTAACCAATGAATGATGCTAAATTCCTATGATGAACTCTTAATAGGAGTTGAACCTACATTCCAATATGATCATAGGCATATAATTATGATTGTTTTAGTTGTCATAGTTTAATTGAATTATATTATTGAATTAAAATGAGTCTGTTTTATGGATATAATCCTTACAATGTGATAAAGCACAAAATCATGGTTGGATTAACTAACCTCAGTCCGAAATTCTTTGAACCCTTCTGTAGATGATGGAGAGAGCATTTTGACAGCAACTTGAGTGTAATCTTCCAAGTGACCATGATAAACAGTTCCAGATCCTCCTTTGCCAAGGGTCTTTTCAAAGTTTTTAGTAATCCTTACAACTTCGGAGTGTGTAAATCGTCGATTATTTGATTCCAAGGACCCAATACTATGTTGATGATTCTTTGATCCTGATAGCCCATCTTCTTTATGGGGATATATATAGCATATCGCCACCAATAAATTATTTTTGGTATAAAATATATTTTCTATTATAAAGAAAATTATTGAACAAACTAGCTATAAAGCAAACACTCAAAAAGGGAATGAACAAGAAATGAAAAATCAGTAGCATAAATAAACCTTACCTCTTTGTTTACTCCTTTTCAAGCTCCAAAAAATAACTACGACAACTAAGATGACTAACACAGAAGTAATTGATGCAACCACTGGAACAATAATATTTTTCTTCTTTTTGCATGAAGATGGACAAAGCTTTGGATTGTCTTCCAAACTAGAAATAAAATGAAATGATCAGAAAACAAATTCATTATTAGTAATGAAAAGGCAATGTTAGGAGTGCTTATTTGGGTTGGGATCACACCATTCAGCACTTATTGGTGTTTGGGAAATAAGCTCAAAATAAGTGCTTATTTTTAAGCCCAAATTTTCAGATTTTTCTAAGTACTTATATAATAAGCACTTATTCAATTTTTTTTTCTTCCAAAATTATCTCTAGTTGAATTTTAAAGTACCACTTGTAAAATTATCCCTAGTTGAATTTTATAAAAGTACTTTCATAAAAGTGCTTTCGCAAAAGTACTTTCATAAAGTGCTTTTATAAAAGTAATTTAATAAAAGTACTTTCATAGAGGTATATTTTGAAAATTTGAAAGAAAATGAAGAACAAAATAGTCACAAATGCTTATTTAAGTGCTTATTGGAGAAAAAGACTACCAAATACCCAATATGAAATAAGTGTTTTTTTTTTTAAATAAACACTAAAAAAAGTTGGGTGTCAAATGCAAATAAGTGCTTATTTGTATGTTTAACATAAGCACTCCCAAACATGGCCTAAGCCTATATCAGGGCAGAATTTATTTTCTTGTTTTGATGAATTTCAAGGAGTAAAAATGACCTGGAGAAGTGCTTTTCCATTTATGGTAATCTTAGGAAATAGCACTCTCAAATATGCTGAATATATAATTCAGTTTATAAAGTTATATACCTTAAGGCAAAGAACAATGCCATTAAAACTCTTAAATGATTTGGCATGAATTAAATATTAGCAATCTCAATTCAAAAAAAAAAAATCTTTTACATATGGATGGAAAAATCGAAACTAGATTTACCACTTAATGATTGAAAAAAGAAATGTGAAATCCATGATTTTAGATGATAGAACCGACCTTAAAAGTAACCCATTCTTCGATTTTTCAATGAGAGCCGTAGGAACGGATCCTGAGAGTTTGTTTCCTGCTAAATTCCTACAAATACATAGATATTAACTATAATTTTCCCTTTATTATCAAGAACACTTAAAAACATTTCTTTTGTTAATTAAATCAAAATAACTTACAAGAACTTCAGTGATGGTAGTTCCGATAGAAAGTCAGGTACTGATCCACCTAAATCATTGTATGATAGATCCCTGAAATAAAAGAACCACTTAATTGGACCGCACTGTCACGTGAAGGAGTTAAGCTTTAATGGAAGTTCAAGTTCCTATCATACATAATAGGCTTTAATCTTTATCTAAGATGATCATAATCAAAGGAAATTTTCAAGTTTTTGTAGTTAATTAATTGGCAGCCTTATATGGTCAAGAAATCCACATGGGACATATTATTGAGCATTGATTATCCTGTTGTTTAGATAATGTTAATTAATAGTTTGTGATAGTGGGTATTGGGTAGTGATTTTAAAAGATCAATCTGAAAATACTTAAATCTGAAGGAAAATAAGATGACTAGGAGAATTAAAGTGACTATAAAACGTCAAGGTTTCTATTATTTGGAATTGTAAGTTAGATGAATATGAGCATATATATTTGAAAAATATAAATGTAAATAACGCTGTGTTTGGCTGCAGTGCAAGTCTATTTGAACTGATGCAAAACTATGGTAGTGCAAATGATTTGGGTGAAAATTCTGATTCGTTTTTGTTTAAAATATTATCCTATTTTGTTTGATTGCAGTACAAATAAAATAAAATAAGACCTGGAACAGAATAAAATAAAACCTTAACCAAAATTTGCATTCTTTTCATTTGCACTCACATGCATGCATTTGTACTGGAGCAAATAAAATCATACTGTAATCAAAGGCAGTATAAGCAACTAAAAAAATGGGAAATAACAAACTAAAATTGAACAATACTAACAAAATGTAGAAGCTCGGATTTCTCCATGTACACTAACTGCTAGAAAAGACTTTGAAACACAAAATATATAATGGGAAATGAAGCTAGGGGGATTTAATTCAATGGAAAAAGAAGTCATAATATGGACATGTAAAAGTTTGGTTTTTCTACTTTTCTTGTGATGGTTCTTCTTCCTCTTCCTCTTCCTCTTTTCTTCTTCAACACACGATAACTAGTGAACTATATCTCCTATAAAGAAAAGTGGGCTGGCCTTAGTCCGGGTTTTAATTAAACATTGTTTAGCTTGTTGCAAGGGAATATACAACGTTGGTTGCGTTATTCTACGGTTATATTTTTTATTTATTTCTTATTGGGCTAAGTGGGCCTGGGCCTACTGTAATATTTTTATATATTTTTCTGTTACCACCAAATGAGGGGCAACTTCTCTTTTCTCACCTTATTATGGTTTCATATAAATATAAAAAATACAGGGCTGGACAGAATAGAATAAACTCCCACCGCTTCTTCAGGCTTCTCTTCTCATCTTCTTGCTCTCGTTTTATTTCTCGATCATTAAACCTTCAGCCCACTATCTTATCCCTATTACTATTAGGGCAAGAGTAGTAGGCAGTAATCAGTTGACTGCTATACAGATCTGGTTGCTGTTGAACTGAGAAGAATAAGCAACACAAGTTGAAGCTCTCTCTCTCTCTCTCTCTCTCTTTATTGATAGTTGTCGATTGGGAAAGATATCATTGGCCATTTGGACTAAAGGAGCTATTGTCTTGTCTTTGTTTGATTGGTTGCAAGTCTTTTGAATATTTAGAATGTCTTCAAGCACTAGTTTACTTACTTCCAAAGGTTACAAGCTAGTTAGGGGAGAACACTACAAGTTTTGAAAACCTTAATTTGTCCAGCTTAAAAGAATATAAATACAAAGATTGGTCAATCTCAGCCAAGTTATTAATTAGTAGCCATAGACTTTTGAAGAAGAACTAGAATTTAAGATTTGGTACAGAAAATGCCGCAGTCATGTCTTGGTTGTTGTTTTCTATGGCTCTCAAAGTCTTAAGGTCCTTCTGTGAGTAGGTTACCTATCTTCTTACCATTTACAATTGGCCAACTGAAGGCTTATAAGTATTATTTGTGTGAGGACAAGAGCAAGGGACTTCGCCTACGCCTTTTCTCTATATTTTGCATAAAAGTTCAAGGTAACCATACCCAGGTGAGTGAAAACGAACGGAGCCTTAAAGTATATTTTGGTACAGAAACGAAGATTATTTTCATTATCATCATCCAAACCTTCCCAACTATATGGGGTCAGCTACATGAATTCTGTATCTCGATGCCATTCTCTTTGGTGCCATATAAAAATGAAAGATTATTTTGATTTAATCATAGTACCATGTATACTTACAAGCTCTGTAAAGATGTGAGGTTTCGCAGAGAAGAATCTATTTCCCCAGTTAATCCACTTCCAGATAGGTTCCTGCAGATTGTATAACAAAGAACTCTATTAAGAAAACTGTAGCTGTTAAAAATGCAAATGCATTTCTGTGTGTGCAAAGCAGGCATGGAGAAACACTCACAATGAGATGATTCTTGGAGGATTAACACCAACATAGCTGCAATTCAGACCATCCCACGCGTAACCCACTGGAGCACATGGATCTCCTTGCCAAATTTTCTTCACCTTGTATGTGCGTTTGATGTCCGTGATCACATGAACTAATTTTTCAGAAAACATAAAAACAGATAACCATTATATTGTTCAACATTTAAGCCTGACAATGAGAAAGAATGTAGAGAAACATCCTGTTGTCAGTAGACACAGTCCTGACTCCTGACCCAATAAGGAAACACGCACCAGTCCCAACTCTATAGGTAGGGTTCTTAATGGATAGGATATTGGTCCAACCCAACTCGGTCTAATATGAGTATATTACAGATGGATCAGGATTAAACCAATCCGATGAATATTTTGGATCATTCTGGATTGGCCCATTTCAATGTTTGGACCGTCCAATCTCTTTAATTCTGATTAAGTCCAACCGAAACCTGGTACATTGACGCTTGTACTCTTATCTTTTGTCAACTGACTAGATATTGGTTCAATTCAATTCAATCCAATCCAATAAATACTTTAGATCATGAAATCTAGGCTGATCCAATTCAATATATCTTATTGGTCCATTCAACTCATTTAAATTGACTTTGATTTGGACAGATCCAACCCAACCCAGTCTATTGACAATTTGGCATCCATATAGGTAATAAATCAGGAACCAGCCCTATTATCAATCGGGTTTGTCGGATCTGACTGGATAATATTGGACAAACTTTTAATTTTTAATAAAAAAAAAACCAGCTAATCCTCCTGCTCTCTTCTCAAAATATCATCATGAGCCATGCTGGAAGGTATCTTTGTCATGCATACAAGTATGAGACCATCAGGGCTGTCAACGGGTTGGGTCTGGGTAGAATCAGAATCAACCTGATAAAAAAATATTTAGGACCCGGAACCGAACCAGACCTGATATAGAATCAGTAAGACCTAGAACCAAACTGTTTGGTTCTTGATACAATTGGGTCTGAATCGGTTCAGAATGGGTAGAACCGGTCCAAATCGATAATGATCAGGAAAATATATCAGAAACTGGAATCAACCCATTGGTTCACCCAATTGGTTCGGGTCGTTGGATCCTCCAGATTGGACCCGACCCGTTGACAGCCCTAATACCATAATACCATTAGATAAACCAGACTGAAACAGGCAGAATAATCAATCCTGACCCTATAAAATAGAATTCAAAATGCAGAGTCAGACCCTGTATAAATAGGGTTAGGTCAGTTTAGTGAACTGGACTGTTGCCTGTTTGAGAGGGCTGAGGTGAAGGTTCAACTAAGCTGGTTCGGTTCAGTTGGTTACTTGGGTTAAAGCCCTCGAGATAAGGCTGAAGTGGTCAGCCCTTCAAATGACTGACTGACTGCCAGTCAATTTGGGCAGGATACTTGGAGTTTTCACCTTGGAAAGTCAGAAGCTGGTGTGGTTCAGCCATTCCAAACACGCACTTATAAGGTTAGTATTTTGATAAGCTTTACAATTTGTGCATTTAAAACTTGAAAATACAAAGCCCTAATTTTAAGCTTTGTGCATTGGGGCTTATTTTCACTTCCCTTAGACCGTAACCCAGAGCTCAAAAACAAAAACTCATCAATGACGAAGCCTTGTGGGTAGGAAATTAGATGATAAATGCATAAATTTACAATAGAAAATCAGGAGGAATATCTGAAGGGGAGATAAACGTACAATCTTCATTATTTGTTGGGAGCTGCTTGAGCTGCTTGACTAAGTAAAATTCAATGGCGTTGAGGATGGGCGGAAGCTTAGACTCATTCGAGCTTCTGAGGGAGATTTGAATATCAGGCCCACTTAATGTTTGTGTGAAACTCCTAGTACTTGAAGATAGGTAACGAGGAACAACTGATCCAACTTCTTCCAACAGTAAACCATTAAAATAGATGCTGAACTGTCTCGACTGGTTCTGATACTCGAGTTCTGCAAAGTATAAGTAGGTACGAAATCTTAAGGTGGTGTCTCTCACTCTCAACTGGTACTCCAATGAATCACCGCCGTTCTTTGGTTGGACTGCAGTTCTCATGACCGTTGATGGTGGGGTGTAGATGTTATCCTCAGATTCAACGGGAGATGAGGCTTTGATTGGATCCACATTTGACCAGCTAGAGGGCAACCAAATGCGATCGTAGATGTCGTCTGGGAACCTGGTGACATGTTTTTAAGATGTAATGCTTTAGAAAGTGAGCTTTTTATTTTATGCAAATTCTAATATTCTACGTTGTTACTTGTTAGAGAAACATTTCTGAAGTTTATGACAATCATATATAAAAACCTCCCTTGAGGCTTTAATTTCATAAAATCTTCCCTTGTAGTTTTGAAAACGTTAAACTAATGCATTAATGTTTGAAAAATAGCCATTTTAACCTTATACCTATCAATTCATATGAAAATTTGTTAAAGTTCTCTTGAAAGAACTTTTAACTAAAAAAATTCCCCGAGTCAAATTGAAAAGAATTGTAAAGTAATTTTATTCTATAAAAACATTAGTTCTTGATGTCTAGAAGTAGGGGTTCATTCAACTCGAACCGAATATCTAGTTATTCGAGCTTGGCTCATCTGTAAACTATGATGCTTGACCTTGAATTCATCTCGACTCAAAAGCTCATAAGTTCGAGCTTGGCTCGACTCATGCTCAATTTTGAGTTAAATATTTTATAAAAATAATATATATATATATATATATAAATCTATTCTTTATTTGATATATAAACAATTAAGAATTGTAAAAACTAGTTATTATATATAAAAATATTATATATAATATTTTTTTATTTATATAAAAGCTCAATTAGGCTCGTGAGGTTCATGATATAATATTTTTTTATTTATTAAAAGCTCAATTAGGCTCGTGAGGTTCACGAGCCAAGCTTTATTGGGCTTGAACTTACTCGAATCTCGGTTTAGATCGAGTTGAGTTGAACTTTTTACGAGCCAAACTCAAATAGCTCGTAAAAAACTCAACTCAAGGCCACCCCTATCTAGAAGGGCAAAGTTGACATTTTGAATTATATTGAAAGATGCCCTAATAAGTTGTAAGGGCGATTTCTTAACTTTGAAGTCTCTATTAATGGGACAAACATGGAGAGGTAATTACAAGTTTTTTCAAATTATAGGGGAGGTTTTTGTTAAAATGAATGCTCAAAAAAGGTTATTATGATTGTCAGAAACTTCAGGTGAGGTTTTTATATTTTACCCTAACTAAATTTAAGGGTGCAAGTTGGGCTGCCCCATTTGAAGAATTTCCAAGTAAATTGGGCTTGGGTCCATTTAAAATTTGGCAACTATTCAACCAGACCCAAATTGCACCTCTTGTAAATACTATCAACACATAACAGCAAGGCACTGCAGTGTACATTGGGAACATCTCCCCATGAATGACAATTTAGATATCCCCATGAAGGATTCTTAGAGGGTGTTCTTTTTTCAGATTTTGAGAGGGGGAAAGTTGGTCAATGGAATTTTGGTTCCCATTGAACAAGAAACCCATGTTCTTTTTTTAGATTTATGTGGAGATTAGGGAAAGTTTATTTTCTTGTGTATCACTTACCTGCGTGGATAAATAACTCTCCCACCTAGAGGGAAAATTGCCAACACTTGAATGGGACAAAACTGCCCCTTTTCATAATAGATTTTTATGGTTGAAATGGTCATTGCCTTATTTACATGAGAAATAAAAGAAAATGGGTAAATGCACTTACCCAGGTAAGTGTTTTCTAGGAAAAACTTATCCAAATAACTACATTTACCCGAATAAGTAATTTACCGTAAAGCAAACAGGGCCTTAGAAAAGATATGATATCTGAAAATCTTTTAACGAGTCAATTGGAATCATAACCAATTAGGTGTTATTTATCAAAATTCATGAGTGATTTTTAATTGGTTAAAATTCTTCTCATACCATATCTTTTCCGCATCATAGATTTTCCCTTCGTTTAAAAGAACATAAGAAAGAATCAGAAAATTGAGAGAAGGTTGTTAAGAAAATTTGAGCAGAAAACGTAATCCATGGTGGCCATATGAAGAGACTCACCTGACTTTCTGTTCACTACTGATGGATCCAATGTCAAGGCGGTGGATGAGTACCAGTGCTCCTGACTCAGTTTCATATATGGAATCATTCAGAGGCCTAAGCTCCAGAGAGGAGATGAAAGGTGTTCCTTGACCCTTGTCCAAGAGGCAGACGTAGATGTCGTCTGCTGGTGCCACGTGTATAATTTCCTTGGTCTGGATATGAGATGCATTGTCAAATGTCAACGTGTCCCAGTGATTCACCCCAAGATAGAGATCAAACGTTGGCAACTTGTTGCTCCCATCGTAGTTTCCATACATGAAGGAAGCTCTGATCAAGTACTTGTTGTTCTTGCCATCTTCAGGCCTCAGGGTGTAACAATTCTTGCGTCCTTCAGGAAAGCTTCTTACAGTATACAGCCGCTTGTCGTGAGTCTCAGATAAGTAGTAAGGAGAGAGATTCACGTTTACTCCAGTCTCAATGTTATTGCTATCAACTGAGTAATTTATGCCGGTTTTCTCATCAGGGTTGCCTTGATCAGGTATCCCACAATCGATACTTATAAATTCTTCAACAAGCTCCCAAGTAAAAAAGAATTTGGTTAGACTGGATGATGAATCAATAATTCATATCCTATATTATAATTGACAAAATGAAATCAATATTAATTATGAACTTACTTGTTTTCATAATGATAGATTATTAGAATTATGGTTTTAAAAACCAACTCGAAAATAGAATCGTTTTAGCGATTGGTTCCTGGGTCAAATGGCCCAATTGTCTGATCCAAACCCCCTAAGATGGTTTTAGGATCCAAAATTAGATCCAGAGCATGACTGGTTCTTGCGTCAACCGGCGGTCCAACCGTCATATAAACAATTGAGTTTGCATCTATTATGGCCACGGTCACAACATTTTCTTGAAATAGTCAATAAAGCATGGGCAGTATTGCTCTTTGTTGTAAATTCAAAATATTAGGCTCAATTTGAGAAGAGTATAAATATGTATAATGTGAATACAAAGTTTACAATACAATATGTAAAGTTTTGCACTGTGTATATTTGTATTTATACTCTTTCCATTGGCTCTGGGGATGTAAGTCAGATACTCGACTTGAAGAGTTTACAGTGCATCAGGTTCAGACTTATGGGCCAGGCCCATTTAAATTTTAACAAAATCCTAACCCGAGCCTGGTCAATTTGTACCTCTATAAAACAGACTCTAGATCTCTTGCCCACAAGAACTCCGCCCACATCTACCCACAACACACTATCTTCATGCATTGGAAACATCTCCCTGTGCATAATACCATATAGGAGGATAAAATGTTTTTCATGTATGATTGCGATGTTATGTGGGTAGACATGAGCAGAGTTCTTGTGAGCAACAGATCTAGATTATGATGTACTTTGTGATTAGGCAGAACCCATTCCTTTTTTTTCTGTATTTGAAACCCATTCCAATTGAATGTTCTAATTCTTTGTCTTTTCCTTATCTTTTCTTCTTTTAACTAAAGATACACGGGTTGGTGTCAAATTGCCCCACGGTAAGCTTAAATAACCTTATGTTTAAGCTTATTGCTTAAATTATTATTTTAATAACAGCTGAAGTTGTCCAAGACTTATTGCTTTGTCTTTTAGTTGTTAAAATAATTAAATAATAAATTGAAAGGATATATCGATGTACTCAATTTCAGTTTCAGCCATAACCCACAACCTCCTTAAAAACTTATACACTAAAAGACAAAGTAATAAGTTTTTCTATTCAGCATCTTCAACTGTTAATTATAAATAATTTCAAGTTGTCATTTTACCCAACAATTGTGATTAGTCAATCCATCATTAGGCCTATGTTTCTAGGTCCATGTAGCCCGTAAATCGAGTTGGGATCACCTGCCAATTACAAAACACGTTCCAACCCTCTACCAACATGCACATCTCATACATGGTGGGTCCCACTTTTTGGTGCGTCCCAGTCTCATGGTGAGATGTGTGGTGTTAGATCAAGTTGGTAGAGGGTTGGTAAGTATTTTGTTGGCAGAAAATCTCAACCATTTAAGAACGTTAAGTCCTTAACTCACTCATTGGCCCAATGACACATCTGTTTGTCTAGACAACGGGTCACATGTTAGACATTAAATCCCATTTTTTATTCAGAGAATTACGGACATGCCCAATGCAGATTTTTGATTTCCACTACAGAGCTATAAACATTCAAAATGTCAAAAACCCCCACTCTATGCACCAATGCCCGCCTGTGAATTGGCATCAATTCCGAGCTGGCACCCACCCCAATTGTACTTTGGGCCTAAAAATTCTGACCCTGGGCTGAACCGTCATTCTCCCTTTTTTATTTTGTATTTTTAGTTATTTCCATCATTAATAATAAACAATCCTCATTTATACATGCCTTTTTGTACTATATTATTTTATTTATTTATTTTTTTTGCAATTCATCCATTTTTTATACATCTGTTATATGATTTATGATGTGGCACGATCCGGGCACTCCTAACTGGCTGCTGATTGGCTCCTATCTGGCAACGGACGACACCTGAGAGGAAGAAGATGAAGGATTCCCGGGGGATTTGCCCGGCGGGAATACTCCGAAGCTTAAGTCTCTTCGGGGGGCTACTTCTGCGGATGTTCCGCTTGTCTGCTGGACTCGGGAGCATCTCTACTTTGCTCCCCTTGCCGACCTGCTTTATTATTATTATTATTCTTTATACAAAATTTCACAAATATCCGCAACGGATGAGTTCTTCTATCTCATCACGGAGATTTTTACAACTTTCGGTGCTATCATCGTGATCTTTATGAAAACTACAGTACAGATTTTTATTTCTAACATTAGGGTCCGCCTTCGGTCGAGGTGGCCACTTCACGTACGGAGCGTCCTTGATTGCCATGAGGATCTCGGCCCACTTCGCGTCGAGGGGTGTATAGTCCCTTTCTGCTGTTGGAGCTCAGAAAGGCTGATTTGGCTTTGCCCCCCCA